CCACATTAAAAATATGAAAAGTTTTCCAGTTCAATATACTGTATCTATAGCAGGAGGCTTAAACCAGAATTTCAGAATACAAAGCAACTTTTATGTCATTTTTGTAATGGTTTGTTTAAAATCAATTTTTATACAGACATGGTAGGGTGTCTCCTGGGTAGAAGCCTGCATATACATATACAAATTTTCAGTTTTGTAATTCTTACAAGATTTGCAATAAGTCAAGAGAATAAGTATTCCACCAGGGTCATTCACTTAATTTGGTGTGTGAAATTCAGTGAAGTCCCCTGCAGCCAGGACAAAATGGCAAGGTAAATTTCTTCAGTCCTATCATCCCCAGGTATTCAATTGGAATTTTTACATGAAATTTCCCAAACCATTCCTTTACTGTTCTGTAAAAGCCTTTCCTAGCCGACTGCTTTATTTCAGCATTTATATAAAAGACTACGCCTTTCCTAGCCAAATGCTTTATTTCAGCATTTATATAGCCAACTGCTTTATTTCAACATTTATATAAAAGACTAAGTGACCCCCCCCCCATGACCTCACTCATTCCCAACTTGGGCACTGAAAGTAAGTGTCTTCCCTGTTTGCCAAGAAATGATAAACCAGTGAATTAAGAGGCGATTGTCCTTGCATTCCCCTCTGGTATGCCAAAGGTGCAAGGATTCAAATGACTGGTGAAATTGAATATGCTTATAAGCTTATTCACTGTATTTAATTAAAAGCTATTAAAATTATTATTATTATTATTATTATTATAATTCATTTATATAGCGCCATTTCCCATAGCTCAATAGCGCTTAACATCAAGTGTTAAAAATATATACTAAGTGTTAGAACATAGTGCATGCATTAACTACTAAAATTACTATACTAGATAAAATTACTAAAAAATAATTATATGCTCTTCTCGTTAAGAATATAAAATTACTTTATGTTATCTATGTTGATAATATTAAAACAACAACTATATAGAATACTATAAAATTGCTAATAATCTTGTTAAAATAATAACTTAGTCATAATACTGTTTAAAAAGATGTGTCTTTAATCTGGGTTTAAAAATAGGCAAGGTCTCACTCTTTCTAATATACTCTGGCAGTTCGTTCCACAGTTTCGGTGCAGCATATGAGAACGATCGTTCACCATAGTTCACTAGTTTTACTGAAGGTATGGTAAGCAATCCTTTGGATGAGGAGCGTAAATTTGCTGATGGTGTGTAAGGTTTTAGCATATTATTAATGTAATGTGGAGCTGAGCCATTCAGAGATTTATACGTGATAAGAACAATTTTATAATTTTATACTACAACTGAGGAAAATTCAGAAATAGTAAAATACATCCATAATATTCCATATGCTATATTTATAAATTCCAATTGGCCATTTTAACATAGGGCCATTTTAATATAGGCGGGTATTAAATAGGCCAAGTGACCAATACCAAAAGCATAATAATTAATAAAACACAATACATTACACCATTAAAACTTTACTATCGTAACTATATATTTTTAAACATTTTATATTTACAGTGTGCTTAAAATTTTACAATTATACTTGAGCACAATGTTTTAATAATAGACAACTTTATAACAAGAAAATGTTAAAATGAAGAAACTTTTTAATGGCTTCATAATTGACGTTTCTTCGATATTGTTGCTTACTTCTACTTTATAATTGTCCATTCTGTTATTTTCTTTCTTTCTATTTGCAAATTATCTCCATTAATCCATAGAAAACAAGCAGTTTACGTTTGTATTTCTTCGTATTTCCCAGGGTGCATTCCATGTAGAGTGCACGCCGAAGTTCCGCCGCTGGAAAATTCGCACACGCCGCCAGACTGCCAGATTTATTTAATCTATATTTTGGCAAAATTTTACGGCGACCTCCCCCCCTCGCCAAAAAAATTTCGGTCAGTGTGCCATTTTAGGGGTCAAAAATGTTTTCCCGACATGTCATCGTTAAACTCGTTAAAAATAAAACAGCGTAAATTTAATTGAATTTCAAGCGAATCCTTCGTAGTGTTGTGGTTTAGGCGTGTGCTCGTATTGCGTGCGCCAAGTTCTGGGATCGATTCCTGCTCGCGCTACTATTTTATTATTTTTTTTTATACTTTTTTTTCTTCGTGATTTTCGCTTACGCACCGCGTACGAAACGTATAGCGTATCGAATATGTTGTTGCTTCGTTCTTAAGAAACAACGCAACCCTTTTAGTGGTTTAGTGTTAGCTTTTAAAGCGTTGTCGGATGAATAGCCGTGAAGCAGGAAGATCCGGTGTCGGACGAATATCCACGGGGAACAATTTTTCCCGGCATTACCAAATTTTCTCCATTTATCCAACTTTTTTTTCTTAAATCCGAAAGTTTGGTACCATTCTCTAAAATTTTTGTCAATTTAGCTCATTCTTCTCCAAATTCACACTTATTTTTGTTAATTAACTTTCTCTGGGCATAGAAATTACTGGAATTTGTGTTCATTTACCCGAATTTCTTCTGCAAATCTACCTGGATTTACCTGAAATTGCCCACATGAGCAATTATTGGGGGGGGGGGGTGTTACACCCCCACACCCCCCGGTCGGCACGGCCCTGCGCGCGAGTGGTTTTAGACACAATAAAACACGAGTCGCGAGTTTATTGAACGGTTTCAAAAACAATTAATAGTATTCTTTATATAAGGAATACTAAGTAGGAAGTGTTTTATCAAATATGAAACCACTGCATGTAACATATTATACTTGATTTGGTTGGCAAAAAAGATCATGAAACTGTTAAGTTATCCGATAAACAATAGAGACTTAACGACGATATTTTCTGATTGTATTATATTAAGTTTGTACGCCGTTTAGGGGAAAACTGATACTACGCCGGCACGCCAACATTAGCATTTACACGCCGCTGCGCCGTAGGGCATCGCAACTCCACGCCGAAGATCTTCGCGTTTGGCTACATGGAATGCACCCTGGCGTATTTCGAACGCGCACTCCTTGAAGGCAGCCATATTGCCGAATATAAACATCCACTTGACGAATAAACTTTTCATATTTCACTCTATTTCCAACGACCAATCAAATCACTTCTGCTTCGGCTTGTCCCAGGGCTTACGGCAACGCAGACAGCCGAGAAGCCCTGGGAACGAGGATGAGTCATGAGCTGTTGAAAGCGTACCGTAGTGAACTAGTACCCAGGAATTTTGCGAGATTTTGGCTTATTTTTCACATTTGAAGCGGCAATAACTGGAAAACCGCTTGAAAATCCCAACTATCCATTTAAATGTCTTATATGTAATTTTTTGTTAGCTGTCTATTGATGTAAGTCATTTGTGTTAGAAATGTATTTGAAATTACACATTTTTTAACTGTAATAGAGTTTAGTACAACATTCGAAGAAAAACGTGTCGGCAGGAGCCCACAAGAAATTTTAACGCGGCCAACATTCGGAAACGTACTTACTAGCCACCAGGGCACAATATGAACGCAAAATGGAATTGCCCCTCGATATGGTGAGTTTTCCATCATGTTGATCCTCTATCTGCCTGACTATATCGTATATATAGGGCTTCACTGCAATATCGGACCAGATTTACATAACCATCAGTTTTTATCGAATCAGTCAAAAATTTAAATATGTTTCGTTACTCAGTGGTTAAGTAATATTTCCTAAGTTTCATAAAGTTTTAGAAAATGTAACAATCTCTGCCTACTCGGGTCATGCAGATGCTTGGCTATATTGCCATTGGCGTCTGCATGACCCGAGTAGGCAGAGATTGTTACATTTTCTAAAACGTTCTGAAACTTAGGAAATATTACCTAACCACTGAGTAACGAAACATATCTAAATTTTAGACTGATTCGATAAAAGCTGATGGTTATGTAAATCTGGTCAATATTGCAGTGAAGCCCTATATATACGATATATAGAGCCCCTATTGCCATTGGCATCTGAATTACTCGAGTAGGCAGAGAATGTTGCATTTTCTCAATCTTTCTGAAATTTAGTAAATGTTGTAGAACATAACCGAGGTTAATGAAGCATAGTTATTTCCGTCAATTTAACTGATATATTTTCTGTGTAGCAGCAGCAAGGAAAGGGGGGACTGATCAGGCTCCCTTTCCAGCGAAGGGGGGCCTAATTAGTCTCCCATTGATTGTGGTTAGATAGAGATTGTTGCATTTTGTCAATCTCTCTAAAATTAAGGAAATATTATGTAAATAGTGAGAGAAAAAAGTGTATTTGAATTTTAGCTTGCTTGGGTGAAAGCTGATGGTTATGTAAATCTGGTCAAATTTGCTATCAAGCCCTACATATACGATATATACAGTACTAGCATATATAGGCCTATGCGTGACTCGAGTAGGCCGAAATTGTTGTATTTTCTCAAACGTTCTAAAATTTAGGAATTATTACCTAACCACTGAGACTACTGAGTAACGAAACATATTTAAATTTTAGACTGATTCGATAAAAGCTGGTGGTTATGTAAATCTGGTCAATATTGCAGCCAAGCCCTATGTATACCGTATACAGAGTACTAGCATCTGCATGACCCGAGTAGGCAGAGATTGTTACATTTTCTTAAACGTTCTGAAACTTAGGAAATATTACCTAACCACTGAGTAACGAAACATATTTAAATTTTAGACTGATTCGATAAAAGCCGATGGTTATGTAAATCTGGTCAGTATTGCAACCAATTAGCCGTACTCCTATATATATATATAATACAACACCGGCATCCGGCTGAGCGGAATTATGCAGAGATTAAGTTGTGTTAAATTAATCTTTCTCAAATTCAGTAAATATTACCTAGTCACCGTATAAAGAGACATATATTTAAATTTTAGAATGATTCGATAAACGTTGATGGTTATATATTATGTAAATCTGGTCAATATTGCAGCCAGGTCCTATAATTATATACTATATATAGAGTACTACCCAGCGGCCAAAATGACGTTTATCCAACGTTGAATCAACGTTGGAAATGACCTTCCAGACGTTGGATAGACGTTGAAAAAGGGTTGACTATGCAAATTGGATCGACGTTACTGTTTCGACGTTGAAACAACGTTGAAATTAGGTTGCCAATCTCGTCAACCATAATTCAACGTTGAATCCACGTTAAACTAACAACGTTGAGCCGGATTGGTTCACAAATCGACGTCGTACATTTAACCATGAATGAACTTTAATTCAACGTCTGTTGCCTGCTGTTGAACCAATGTTTGTAAAACAACGTCAGAGCAACGTAGATATTAGGTTGTCGACGTCGCAACCTTTTTTCTAACAAATTTCAACGTTGAAACAACGTCGTGTGCCCGGTGGGTAGCATCTGCATGACCCGAGCAAGCAGATATTGTTCCATTTTCTCAAACGTTCTGAAACTTAGGAAATATTACCTAACCACTGAGTAACGAAACATATTTAAATTTTAGACTGATTCGATAAAAGCTGATGGTTATGTAAATCTGGTCAATATTGCAGTGAAGCCCTACTCCTATATATATAATACAACGCCAGCGTCCGGCTGAGCGGAATTATGCAGAGATTAATTGTGTTAAATTAATCTTTCTCAAATTCGGTAAATATACCTAGTCACCGTGTAAACAGACATATTTAGGCCTAAATTTTAGATTGATCGATGAAAGCTGATGGTTTTGTAAATTCGGTCAATTTTGCCGTCAAGCATTCTATAGGATGATACAGAGCACCAGCATCTGCATTACCCGAATAGGCAGCTAGAGATTGTTGTATTTTATCAATATTCCTGAAATTTAGCCGGGCAATTTTATTCAATAATTGACAATACTTGTTTGATATTTTCTGGTTTTTACTTAATTTTCTCCATTTGGCAGCAGCAACAATTCAAAAATGAGAAGCTAAGGGGGCCTGATTAGGCTCCCTTTCCACTAAAGGGGGAATAATTAGTCCCTATTGATAATGGCATGTAGATTTTATTAATCCTTCTGAAATTTAGGCAATTTTATTGGATAATTGAGACTAGAAGCGTACTTATTTGAGTCATTCAGTCAATTTTACTCATTTTCTCCTTGTGGCAGTGGCAACAATTCAAAAATAGAAGGCGTGCCTGATCAGGCTTCCTTTATACTAAAGGGGGACTAATTAGTCCCCATTGATAATGGCATATAGATAGAGCAACACTGAGCTCCACCTTTGAATTTACTATATGAGTAAATTGTTAAACACGTCCGAATTTATCATTATGATATTCGCGGCACATTTTGAATTTATCAATGAAGTAAATCATCAAACCACAAGCATTAGACAAGAGTTTTTTATTATAAATGTAATGGCACGAAGGGGGGGTGGGGGGTGGAGACTTTCTAGATTTTCAGAAAAAAAGTTTAAAAAAAGGTTGAAAAAGTGAGTTTAAAAAGTTAGATTTTCAAAAAAGTTTAAAAAAGTTAGTTTAGGGTTGAGGTTAGTGTTAGGTGCCGCGAATTTATCATGATAAATTCGGATGTGTTTAACAATTTAATCATATAGTAAATTCAAAGGTGGATCTCATGCCGAGATAGAGATGGTTGTATTTTATCAATCTTTCTGAAATTTAGGAAATATTACCTAATTATCAAGACTAGAAACGTATTTAAACTTTAGATAGAATGGATGAAATCTGATGGTTATATAAGTCTTGTCAATTTTCACGTCAAGCACTAGTATCTGCATGACCCGAATAGGCAGAGATTGTTCAATACACCCTTTCGATAATTACGTCACAACTACACTGTTTTCAACTTAGGACCATCTTAAGGTGGCTCGATATAGTTATCACAAAAACCCTGTTCAAGAATCGCGAACTCAAAACCGGTTGACCATTTTTACGCGCAGGTCGCGGAAACTGATTAACAAAATGAAAGAACTTCCAAAATGACCTGACGTGAGCAGTTGCTCGCGCCATCTCACGCCATTGCGCGTGTTCTATAGCGTTTTATGTCAATTGCTGACGTCATTAGAATTTTGCATTTTAGAAAAACAATGCGCTATATCTCTTTATTTTGTCTGGTGACCTATGTTCAAATTTTGCATGCTGTATTGCACCGCTAAAAATTTTCATTATACAAAAAATAAAAAAATTCTGTAATGCCAAAAAAATGTTACCGAAGAATATGACATTTTCGCATTTTCCCAAAAAATGGCATTACAGAAATTTTTTATATTTTGCTAATTGTTAGCTTTTCGTCCAAGTAAAATAATGCACGAAAAAAATTGGGGGTCACCATGCTTTTTTTCCAACTATACGAGACGATAGGCCATTTTGGAGTCAATTTCGTACACGTATGTCGTCATAGCAACGAACTATCTGTTACTAAAACGAATATAATTTGAAAGTAGAGTTATCAAAATATATAAAAAAACCAATATCTGCTGAATAAATCCTAAAAATGCGTAGTTTGAACATGTCAAAGTGTTAAACACCTGAATTTTTGAAAACTGTATCGAGCCACCTTAAATGGAAAGGATTTCAAGCTTTTTTCTCATGGGCTATGCAAAGAGAAACAGAACATCCTTCTTCAACACATGCGCGAAAAACAATTTTGGATTTTGATCAATAAATGGAAATGAGCATTAACACGAAAACGAGGCTCCAGGTCATGGAGCCTCGTTTTTGTGTTAAAGCTTATTTCCACAATTATTGCTCAAAATAAAGAATCCTTTTTTCATGCTTGCGTTGAAGGATGTTTTGCTTCTCTGTGCAAAGCCCATGAGAAAAAAGCTTGAAATCCTTTACATTTATTTAAGGTGGTCCTAAGTTGAAAACAGTGTAGTTGTGACGTAATTATCGAAAGGGTGTATTTTATCAATCTTTCTGAAATTTAGGCAATTTCATTCAACAACCGAAACTAGAAGCATTCTTATTTAATTAATTTTACTTACTTTTTCTCCGTGTGAAAGCATACAGCAACAATTCAAAAACGGAAAGGGGGCCTGAACAGGCTCCTTGTCCATTGAAAGGGGAACTATTTAGTCTCTCTTGATCTTGACGAAAAGTGACAACATTTGTTTCTTCAATTTTCAATCATAATCACGAATTTGAATTGAATTGCAAATTAAATGGTGGAGCTCTTACTTCACGTGTAAAATGGGGTTCATTTTCAATGTGTCCTACTAATATAATAGTACAATATATTGATGCCACCTCAGGCAGCAGGTCGCGAGTAATTCACAAGGAAAAACTTCGTATTTTTTTTATTTATACACTAGTCCTGTGTCGATATTACTCAAATGTCATCCAAAAATATGGTAAATTTAGCGAATCGGAAAGAGCACTAATCAGCCTCCTTCCCACGGAAGCCGGCGTAAAATACGGATTAATTAGTCGCCAATTCAGATCTTGACAAAAAATAAGAACAATATCGTATATATTTTTAAAATGATAACATACAAAAAGTGGTTACGAGCCGCCGAGGTGAGTGGGTTATAGGTAAACGTATAAACTGGAGAAACTGCGTGGTTCAGTGGGGTTCAAACAAGGCTCTCGTCTAACCAAACACGAATCAGTGGGGTTCCTAAGGAAAAAACTCACCGTACCAGAACATTATATATAATTATTCACAAAGATCTGGGAAACTTTTCGTGAATATAAACTCGATGTTAATCAGTGTGCAATTCAATAACCCACTTAACCAACTTTATTTTAAAGTATTTTTCTTTCTTTAATAATAATTAAACAAACTACATACACTGAGAAAATGACAAGTGTTTGTATGCATGCCTTATTATTGCGTGGTCTCCATTTGTAGTATTTTGGAGAGATTAGTTAGTGAAATTATGAAAATGACGATTTGCTGATGCTGTTTTTTAGGTGATTGGGCATCCGGTGCCTGTCCACATAACATTATTTTATACAATTATCTTTGTCGTTAGAGCGAGGGTCCTCAGGATTTACTAAGATCGTTACGACATCCATCAACAGTAAACATTTCTGACATTCCAACTCGTTTGGCGACTTTTGTGAACCACATTGAACCCACTCAACCCAGTTTTTTATTCCAAATAATGAACAGTGGTTCCATTCCGCGCAACAACATCGTTGGCAAAAGATGGTAAACTCCAGAAGTACTTAGAATGGAAGTATACTTCAGCCCACACTTCTGTTAGCGATAGGTCATATGGGATAATGGAGCTCTACAGCCTGTAGGATCGCTGAATGGTGTGCTAAGACGCTTATCGATCGATCCTCAAATTCACGCCAACGTAAACAGCGAATCACATGAACTGCACCAAATTAATTCCTGAACATGATCAAAGCCACCCATGTCTTCATGAAACGACTTCTTGTGGATCTGCGAAATGAAAGAAAAACCAGCAAACCTGAATGGAGTAATAATATTAACTTTAAAGTTTAGTATTTTAATTTTGGGATAGGTAATAGAACCTCTACATGCGTCTTGGACCTTTGGTTAGTGGTTTATACTTATAAGCATTATTAATTTGATGGTTTCTTATATTTTCAATGGGGTCTGGAAAGTGGACCATGCCGTGAAATATTGTATTATTATTAGGTGCACGCGTATAATGCGCGCGCTGTTTTGTATCTTTTGTATGTCAATCCATTGGAGAAATATCGTAATTGAAGCTAGCATGTACTGTATGTAAAGTTATTACTTGGTAATGGATAGGTGCGATTTGATGATGCATATTTATCACAGGATCGGATTTAACCATGCCGCGATTTTGCAAATTAGGCATTGGTGAATGGTGATAAGACCTGCACAGTCGCTTGTGATTTTGTGTTGTGTAATTTTCCTGTATCTCATTTAGTAAATGGTTTTCTTATATCTTCACAGGGTCTGGAAAGTAGACCATGCCGTGCAATATTGCAAACTGGGTTCCTTATAGTATTTAAGTATATGTATACTTATGTAGGTGCAGTTAGATGATGTACATACAGCCAGGGTCTTGAAAGAAAACCATGCCGTGAAATATGTGAAACCAGGGCGCTGTAAAACACAGTGTGTTTTATTACGCCCTGGTGAAACCTACGGTTTGTGCATGTCATGTATAGCTAGCAGTGGCGTAGTCAGACCTTAATTTTTGGTGGGCGAAGCGAACGCCGAAGGCGTGAGAGCGTGAGACCGTCTAGGGGGGTTCGGGGGCATGACCCCCAGGAAACATTTTGAAATCTAGAGTCCCTGAAATGCGATTTCAAGCATTTTGGGGGTGAAATCTTGCAGAATTCCAATGATTATAAAGTACATCGAAGACATAAATTTTCCCAGACATTTCTACTCGGAATTAAATAAATTGGAAAAGTCACCTTGAAAAACAGGACGAGGGGTCAGTGTCACCTTAGAGGAGAGGAGTGGTATCGTGTGTAAAATACTGTAATGATCCACTTACAATCATAAAACTACATGTGTCCCAATGCAACAACGTCTGAAAGTGATTGTCTGGGCCCCATATGCCATAACATCATTGTATATCAAGTACAGGGGATAGAATGCTCTGCGAACGAAGTATTTCAGCTCCATTTCGTTCACAGAAGATCTAATAACATTTTAAAACAATTAAGTTTCATTAAAATTCTCAAAGTTAATAATTAACAGAATATGAATATAATTTTTTATGTCATATAGCATTCTTAATCATTGTTTGTGTTTACAAATTTCGGCAGAGCACAATTGGTTATTTGAGAGGTTATACAGGGGCAATCCGTCAATAAAGATAGGTATCGCGAATGTTTTACGCTAGATATGTCACACTTACTGTGGTGCATGACCTATGATGCTTTAGGGTCATCACCACGAGGCATGACAGTTGTTTTGGACATGATATTAAAAACACAATCAATATCGAAAAACACTACATTGGCGACGAGGATTATAAACAATTGATTATGGGTTCAGTTTCAATTGATTATGAAACACGCGACGATTGGACTGCATATATAGAAAGAGTTGAACAGTATTTCCTTGCGAACAATGTAGCCGATGATAACCTTTTGACCCGGTTGAGGCATTTCATGTGTCACAGTTCAGCATGTTTCCTGTAACTTGGCAGCAAGTACGCAAAGCAACCCAACGAGATTCTACCCTCGCCCAAGTGTATGAGCATGTCATGAAAGGCTGGCATGAAAATAAAGACCCCAACCTGCGTGCGCAACCCTTTTACTCTCGAAGAAACGAACTAACTATGCACCAAGGATGTATTATGTGGGGGAGCAGAGTTGTCATTCCCACAAAGTTACGAAGCGAAGTGCTACAAGTATTACACGAAAGTCATGTTTGTGTGGTTAGAATGAAAGCTCTGGCTAGAAGTTACGTTTGGTGGCCAGGAATTGATTTGGAGATTGAAAGGATGCAGTGGTTGCCAGCGGGTTCAACATGCCCCCAAATGCTCACCATTACACCCATGCGAGTGGCCATCTACCCCCTGGCCACGTATTCATGTCGATTTTGCAAGACCATTTCTTGTAATGATATTTTTAGTGATTGTTGACGTTCATTCCAAATGGTGAGAGGTAATAATCATGCACTCGAAAACAACCACCTCCAAAACTGTCGAAGCCCTGCGAACAGTGTTTGCTCGAAATGGGTTACTAGAACTACTGGTTAGCGATTATGGCCCTCAATTCACTGCAGAAGAATTCCAGCTATTTCTAAAGAAAAACGGAGTTAAACACGTAACTTCAGCACCATATCATCCAGCCACTAACGGCTTAGCAGAAAGATTCATTCAAACCATGAAACAATCTTTGACTTCAATGAAGGAAGACCTTGGCTCCACGTAGACCAAACTATCCAAATTCTTAATGAAATATAGAAACACACCACGACTGGTGAAACACCAGCAACTCTCTTCATTGGACGAAATTTACGCACACGGTTAGACTTGATCAAACTGGATATTCGAAAGCATGTTATAGAGAAACAAGTCAGCCAAGCCAAACCCAAAGGTGATATTGCTGGTAATGCAGTTAGTGTCAGAAATTACAGAGAGAAGGAAAAGTGGATTCAAGGAATTGTGCGTGCTCGAACCGGACCAGTGTCATACCAGGTCGAGATTGCACCAAATGTTATCTGGAGGAGATACATCGATCAATTACTTGCCTCGGAGAACATAAACGACACTCAAGATGTCGAACCAGTTACAGATATTCCAGGTTTGGCCAATGAAAATAATACTGAAGACGAAACAGCCGTGGACATACAAGACCAACAGGAGACTTTAAACAGGTGAAAGTCGGCAAAGAAATGATTATAGACTTCAGAAAAACGAAAACAGAAATTCCTGAACTACAAGCGGAACAGTCTCCAATAAGTCGTGTCAGCTCCTACAAATTACTGGGTGTGTGGATCGATAATAATCTGAAATGGGAGACTAACACTTGGGCTTTGGTTAAAAAGTGCCGGAAAAGACTGTACTTTTTAAAAATCTTAAAGAATTACGGTGCCCTCACAAAGAACCTGTTGGCATTTTATAATTCAATAATCAGGCCGGTTTTAGAATATGGTGAATTGGTGATGTTTAGTATGGCCTGGGGGTCTAACTGCTAAACAACGATGCAATATCGAAATGATTCAAAAACGAGCATTTCGTATAATATATCCAGGACAAGATTACAAACAGGTATTCGAAGCGAACAAGTTGACAACATTGGAACAACGAAGAAAAGACCACTGTTTCAAGTTAATATCAGATATGACTGAAGAAGATCATTAGCTTAATCATTTGCTTCCTGCAAAAAGATCTGAAGTAACGGAAAGAAACACTAGAGGGAACAAAAATTGTTTATAAAATAGCCCGCTTTTACATGCTATTAACATTTTTAATACTATGAACAACAATTAGGATAGTAAATATAATATAGTTGTAAACTATATAGTAATTTAAGTTATGTTATTGTATGTACTGCAGTTATAATTCCAGTAATAATAATAATACAGTTGTGTTAATTGCACTTTTTCATTTGTTTGGCCCTCACATATTAAATTATGAATATTCAAATTAAATTTAATATGAATATTATCTTTCAAGTTTAGTATGCAAAAGGTTTATTAAAGAAATAGTCACAGATGAGACATTTATAGTCTAGACATGTTGTGTACTATTATATAAACAAAATTTTTCTTAAAATGAAACACTCCATCTGACAGTTCTTTACTCATGACCATGTTTTTGAAAAATAGATATATGCTGAGTTTGGTGGATAAGC